CCCCCCCCCCCCCCCCCCCCCCCCCCCCCACGTATATCTTCACAACCGCACAATCCTTCCCCCACCCCCCCCCTTCCCTCTGCCTTTTAATTTCTGGACAATCTTCCAACTTCTTCAAGATTTCGGCTTCCTTGGTCCTTCTTTCTTCACCATTTCGGACAGTAAATTAGTGTTGTGTGTGTGTGATGCTATTGGAGGCTGTCGAATGTTCACCTCAACGGAGGACGATCAGTTATCTTAGAGAGAGGTTTATAAGGATAAAGTTGGCCTCAAACAGAGGACTGCTTAGTGTTTCTTTTAACTCATTTGGTGGCGGCAGATTCCTAATCTCTTGGCCAGTCTTATCGAAGTTCTTTTGCTGTCGCATTTTCGCTATCAATTTCGTCTACGTCTGTGCTTACCCCAGGTCGAAATATTTGTACTGTCGAGGTGTTTGGATCTCACTGATCATTGCTTCTTGATTTCTTACGCGTGTCTTTTTCTCTCTCTCTCCTCTCCAGGGCACCGGTCTTCCGCATGCACCATCTCATGCTCGCCATGGTGATCGTGAAATCCATTTCTCTCATGTTCCACTCGGTAAGTTGCACTCCTCTTTTCACCTGATATTTCCAACGTAACTTAAAGTTCAAATATGTATATATGTGGACGGTGAGAGACCCTCTGGATTTCGCAATATTATAACTCATCCTTTCCTGTAATTCGAGCAAAATATGAACACTATTTTTCCTTCGGTCATGCTCTCACACATGCCCATGTCAGACTTTTTATAGTCATAACACCAACTATGGTTTCTTATACTCATATATTCTCCTGCGGAATCATTCCCCTAGTAGGGGGTGAGTGGGGGGGGGGGGGCAGATGTAGTTTCGGTTACCCCAGATTGTCAATCTGAAATCCATCGCAAATGATAGTGAATTTTTTCCAATTACCCTCGTTTTAGCAGTGGTTCACTTTTCTCCTAGATGGTCTGTTGTTGCATTACTGAATTATTGCTTTTAAGGCCTTGTTTTTTGCTTTCTGCTTAATTATCAATGCATGAGAAAGAAGGCTTTGTTGTGCTAGTAGTTCCTCCAACTGCAGTACTCCCAAATATATTTATATCAAATGCCAGGCTTTATGAAAGTTATCATTAGCCCTTTAGTTGACTTCAGGCTTCACAGAGGGAGAGGAACATCAAATCGAAAAAAGTCAAGAGGGGAGGGGGGGGGAACAGAAGAGTGTTTCAAAGATGTAAAAGAGACAGACACAAAGGTAGAAAAAAGGTGAGGCGATTACTATGGAAGTAGTCGAGCATGACATACAGTGGGGTCATGGCAGTTTGAAGTCAGAAGTCAACTGCCGGTATATAGCCTTTTTTGCCGTATGAGTATACATTGCCCAGGGTGCACCACGTGGAGGTAAGTCTATCGCACACCCCGTATCCCCAAGTATAAGATGGGATTGAGATAGTCGCAGTGGTTAACATTCTCGTTTCCTGGCAGGTGTCACCGATCCGATGCCCGCTGGTGCGCACGCCTTGTGGTCAACCGCTCTGAGCGGACCTGACTTGATTTTCTCATAACTCTTAAAAAAGATAAACCTGGGAGAATGTATAATTAGTTTAGGATACTCAACCGATGTTATTCTTAAATTTAGTAATCAAACATCGTGACTAG